TTAGAAGGCTTGCCAGTTATGATAGGTTTCCTTGACGTTACAGTAACAGGCAAGGCTAAACACAGCTGTCTGGTGCCTGGAATCTTTAGGAGTCCTGCAGGACCTGAGTCAGAAAAAATAAACTGAACTTTAGACATACTCAAGCTAAAGGGCTTTTTCAGCCAACTCCTTTGTAAATAGTCAAAAATTCTAAGTATATATGGTGGGACAAATTTACGTCTGGGTCACTTCAGTAGCTGTTCTGGCACTCTGCTCAGAATTCATTTGCTGTGGTTCATCCTCTACAAAAATCCTTGTGCTAAGAACAGGCAGTACATAAATCAGAAACCAAGGTTCAACTTTGCAACTTTTATGTTCATTGAAATGAATAAAGAAGAACTACTAATAGAGAAAGCATGCATGTAAATGTCAAGATAATACTGCATTTTATGAGTTTTCATTAACAGCCAGAGCTGAAACAAACATTTTGGGATAATAAGTGCCAAAACACTTTGAAATATTCAGAGAGCATATGAAGATGCATGCTGTGAAAAGGAGATAGATGCCATCCTGCATCATCTTTGATTTTCAGTCTAGATTTTGATTGTTCATCCAAGTTTTAGAGTCGACTAATAGGCTTCTGAGTCATAGTCTGGAAGGGCAAACCAGACATTGATTATTATCCCAGAATAACACCAATAGAAAGCGTGTCCATACCTCCAGCAAGCCAAAAAACCCTATTTCTCACCATGGGTAGCTTGTGGTGGGTTGCTATTTTTTGTGCACAACTTCTAAGCTTAATTTGCAGTGCAGAAGGAGAGACTTTCCAACAGATGGATATTCAGAAGAGGAGCTGAATTCAGACACTCTACAGTTGTACCTATCTTACTGCACCTGAGCACAAGTCCAAGCTCCTCATCTGGAGGCATGAGCCAGACATGTCCTAGTCCAGGTGCTCACCAGACTCTGAGATTTTCTGTCACACAGCTTTCCACAGAGAGGCAACCCAAACCAGGTGGTGAGAACTGGTCTGCTCTGAACAGGTTCCCAGTGAGGAAGGTGGCTGGCTCAAATTCAATCCCATGAACGAGTGGACAAGACTGGCCTCTGCACTGGTCTCCAGAATAGCTGCTCCTCCTCCTCATTGTCCCATAGGAAAGGAGATCCTGAGGACGTTGTGCTCCTGTGTGCTAATGGCAGGTGATGCAAATACTCCCTCTGTGCATCCCCTTTGTACAAGTGTAATTGGCCATCTGAAACCCTGCAAGGGGCCTGGGATGCAATGTGTCACTTAAACCCTTCATGAACAGCTGCAGAAAAACATTGCAACACAACAAAAAGTCAGGGAATGAACTCAGAGGCATTAAAGAAGGTCAAATGATGAATTGGAAAAGACTTCAGAATTCTTCCAAACACCAAACTTCTGTTTTATTTTCAAATGTACCACATCATAGGAAAGAGACATGGGTCTTTAATGTTTTTTCTGGAGAAACTGGAATTATATGTTATTTTTAGGAATAGTATGTGCAGGTGTTCACCAGATATTAACAAATGTTTAAGTATTAATTGCATAAGAGGTAATTTCTTTAGTAAACACTTCATCTTCTGATTCATACAGCACCTCTCCTGTTGCCTCGCTACCTTTTAAAAAATGAGTATGTCAGTAATGCCAAAACCATACTATGCACAACTTACACAAATGAAATTCTTCAAAAATAGCAACACCTGTTGCACATGTGCTTCTCCCAAAAGCCCCCAGATGACTTGGGTGAGTCCTCAGCAGGGAGTAGGTATGTAACCATGATGTTTGGATGATAAATACATACAGGTCCTAATTTGTAAATCAGTGAATACTCAAAGCAATAGTCATTGTAAAAACTATGAGAAATCAGTAGGATGAATTATGTTTCCCCCCTCCCCAGCCAGTGAGTCACCCTGAACATCACAGAGAGGACTGGTTAGATTCATCAGAAACTGGTCCCTGTGTACAGCTTTCAGCAATATCTCATAGTAAACAGCAGACCAGGTTGATGTCAGATCTACAAATGCATGAACACATGTGTTGACATTCACATACATGCTTCCTTCTCACAGATGGAAGTCACATTCATAATAAATATTGGGATTTTGGGAGGTTTTATACCTACCTTCAGTGCTACCATGTTACCTTTTAGAGCCAGGTGAATTCAGCAGAAGATACTGTGGCGATATTTGGAAGAGCTATACTGCATGTCAAAAAAGCATTTCTTCATTAAAAATGCATTAAAAACCACTGAAATCTGAGGTACATATCAATATTATAGTAGGCACTTGAGGTTTACTTTCCTTAGATTGATCTCGGTCCTGTTTAAAGTCTGCCTCTGTAAATGCCAGCTGTTTGGTTGTGTTGTTTTCTTTGAAATTGACGTGCCCACACTGAAAAAATCTGCTAAAGAATATCACAGTAAAAGCAACACCTTTCTTTAGGAACTGATCTATTTCCTAGTATGTAGGGAAAAGACCGAAGAAAAGTTAACATTATTATTCGTTGTTCAAAGACATGTCTTTAATCAATAAATTTATCTAATTCACTATTATTTTGACAGCACTGAAACAGAGGAGTTTCATGTTCTTGTATATGATTTGAATTTTTACCTAAACATAAATATGAATAAGCAGAGCATCTGCAGCTACTCTGGATGCACTGAAATGAAAGGACTATCAATCCTTATGCTTCAGGGTACCTAATCTGATAACCAGCTGAGGTCAGGGAGAAATATCCCCCACTGGTATAATATTGACTAATTGGATTCATAATAAACCTTTTATGTCTTTCTCTAAAAAATTTTACATTAGCCACTAGATGGACCAGTGGCCTGCTCTGGCATGGCAATTCCTGCATATCTAATCCACAAAACAGTTGGCAGTGGGTGCTGCTCTTGTAATCACTGAATCAGCAGCACACCAGCTGGAAGGGACTCAGCCTGCATCCTCCAGTGGCATGGAGCACTCCAGATGAGGTCTCAGTCAGGAGGTGGGAAAGAAGAGGAGGCTTTTTGCCATGGTGAGCACATTTATGGAATATCTGATTTACGGACATCTGATAAATCTGATATACAGCATCTGAGGTACACATCACCAGACCTGGAATCCAGACAAGGGCAAGAAAATTAGAATAGAATAGAATAGAATAGAATAGAATAGAATAGAATAGAATAGAATAGAATAGAATAGAATAGAATAGAATAATGTAGTGTAGCATAGCAGAACAGAGCATTGAATACATCTGAAGATTATATACAGGAACAAGAATCCTAGAACTGGAGGTGAGCCAGTGCTTGTCTGTGAAGCCCTAGCTAATCAAATGTCAACCGACTTCTTAACTTCCGCTGCAGAGAAGGAGAACAGATGGGTGGGCTGGAATGAAATACAAAATAAAAGCAGGCTACTATGGTCAACTTTACACAAAAGATGATAAAACCCCTCATTATATAACAGAAAGCCACAGTATGTCAATACTTTCTTAATGGAACTTCCCACAGAAGCAAAATCTGCATCTGCTTGTTAGCCACAAGGTGATTATCAGTGAATAAGAGCAGAAGGCCCCTTGTATGTGATGCAATTAGGAAGGCTGCTTGGAGAGCAATTTCACTGCTGAGATGAGGTCCATGTTATCAGAAACAGAGTTTTTCTCAGACTGCAAAAATTAGAAGACAGAGCGAGAGGTTTCTGTTATCCAGTTAGCTGAGTCATAGGTAGAGGTATATTTTCCATCCAAGGCCATTCTTTCTAATATGTTACACTTCAATAACACTTGAGACTCAAAATGGAGCAATCTTTTTTGTCTGGCTGCTTGCCAGGGTAGCTGGAGCCTTCTGGGCTGTGCACTGACAATGCTTTACTCAGCTCAATGCAACTGTACTCTCTGTCCTCAGGAGGAGAGCAGGTTACAAAACAGCATCTTCATGTCCCTTTATGTGAAAAACACACTACTCAAAGAGAAAAAAAAAAGAAGTGCACTTGGTTTCCCTTAACAGTTATCATGTGATAAATGAATGTATCAGTTGGAATGAGTTTCCAGCTTCTCAAAGAAGCTCTGAGTAGGTAAGCTTATCTGTCGTGAATCACATACACAGGCTGCCCCACAACCAACAAAATAAACACTGCCACAGCTGTCTCTAAGGAACAACCCTGTAGACAGTTGTCTTGCTATTGTAATGCACGACAATATTCAGGTAGCTGAATAGGTAGCCCCAGGAGGTTGGAGTTTTATTAAAACTTTGTATTTTCCTCATTTGACCTACTTGCTCATATCTGGAAAGGTTTTGAGGAAATGATTCTAGAAAAATGGGACTCTGGTTTTGTTTAGACTAAAATCTATTCCTTATCTGCTAGAAGATGGTCAGCAGGTCAGGGTGGCTCACAGGCTGCTCAGACCTCCCTCCTGAGATGAGCATGCTACATATAAATACCTCCATCCTGTGATGGTACAGGGCTGCTTGGTCTTCTGCATCTCTCACGATCAAGAAAATGAGCCAAAAAATCCAGCATCTCTGTCTCTTTCCTGTAAAACCCCAGTGTGTCTAAAAGCAAATGGGACATCTACCTCTCTCTTCCTTTTGACTTTTCAGGAGATATATGTGGTGATCTATGGCTCTTGATCACTTAGGGGAATTTTGGTATTCTCACCACAGGAAGGTAAAGCATCCTCAATAAACTGGCTGGGGTAAACTGGCCTTTGTATGTCTTGGACTCAGGTGATAAGCAATACTCTTTGTTTTTTTGCTGGTGGAGGCTGTGAACATCAGAGGACAGTCGGGGGAAAAGGACCTGGCCTTTCACTCACAACACAATTTTTGAAACTGCTCTTGTAATCTGCTTTCCTTCAGGTCAGCCTCAAATACACCTGAGCACTCATGGCCTCTGGGCAATGTTAGCAACATGTGGACAGAAGAGACAGTCCCAGCACTCATCCCCAGACAGAGACAGACCTGTGAAGGTGGACTATGAAGCGCCTACAGCAGTTGTGACCATCAGCAGATGTGAAAGGGCCACACAGCTGGTCTCTAGCACAGCAGGAGATTCCCTGACCCCTGGCCTCGGGGCAAAGGACATGACACAGAGACAGCAGCATGCACGTGGGTAATGTTGACAGGGATGAGTAATTACTGGCTTACCACTTTTCATTGTTTTTCAGTTTTGTTTTGGCAGGGTGTTTGATTGCCAGGTGGAGAGCATGGGACATTCAAATCCCACTTTTCTGCATGGGGACTGGGAACGAAGGTGCTGGCATATTTTGTTTCACTCCTGAAGTCATCTACCCAAACTGAAAGGGACCACCAAGAGAGAAGTAGAGTTCACAGTTTCCAAGGTGTCTAAGCTGGTACCATTGCATTTTTCCCCATTTCTGATTAAAGGGGGGATGCTGTTTCAAAAAAACCTTTGTTCTCAGGCACAAGAAAGTGATATTTGAGGTTTTATAAAAATAAATATGTAGTTAAAATGAATCAGGTACAATTTGTCTCTTAGCTCTGGAGACCATGTAGAAGATGGGGATAAAAGGAGAGGACAATGAATTTACAATCTGGCTTTTAGCAAGGTGTAAATTTACCACCCAGACTCCCACCCATTACACCACAGACAGGAAACCAGCTGGTGGAGGGTGCAGCTAGTTTGTTGTTCCTTCTCGCACAATGACTATGTGTGTTATTGATTTCACAGGCCTAACCATGACTGGTATATTTTTTAGATCTTGCCTGTTGCCTTTTTCTGTTTTCAGATCAGCTATGCATTTCATCAACCTCCTGCCCACCAGCAATCATAAAATATGAGCCTTTGTGGGAAAGCAGAGACGTAGAAAGAGTTTCTTATGAAACGGTGGCTGGGATTGTTCCAGACACCTCCAGCCAGCTGCTCTCCAGGCAGCAGCTTTGTGATACAAGAGACAGTAAACATCAGCTTTGGAAAATCAGACACTTGGGCCCTTTGGCTGCAGGCCCACTGAACAAGTTCTCCTGACTACTGAGGCATGGCTCCGAAAATAAAAGGGCTCTTTAGTGCTGATATCTTTGGACGCCACTGTGCAATATAGCTGGAATCAGTCCAGGGTATTCCTACCTGCTTTGCATCTTAGGCTATAAAACAAATCCAAACACATCAGTCCTTTCCTGGTGCTTGGTTTTCATTAAGGTATCTCCTGCTGCTAATCCTGCCCAGTCCGGCCTCGGGCAATGCAGTCTCTGGGCTGCTGCATGGCCAGTGGCAACTAGCAATAGATGATATAACTGGTGGAGTGCCATTATCTTTTTACCAGTGTGCAGTGCAGAAGCTCTACTCCTTTGCATAAATTCTACCTACAGAAATGCTGCAACTTGTGCTTTCCTGCTCACTGTCTGTAATGTTAGCCGTGCAAGAAGAAGGCAGCACTGTTGTGAAAGGCACTTTTTACAGATGAGGCAGGACTCCCTCATATTCTTGATGGCCTTACAGTCGAACTATAGGAAAGGCATAGGAAACTAAAGGGTGACCAGCTTACCCTGTATATGGGAAAAGTAAATAGGCTGGGATTCTCCAGCAGGGAAAAGAAAATTACATGGAATGTAAAATCCTGCAGCTTTCCAGATAGGTCAGAAAGTGTGTAATTGCTCACTGCAGGGGAGGAGGTGGGGACACTGAATTAAATGATCAGGCAGAACGTTTCAAGGAAACTAAAGGGAACACTCTTTCACACAAAACATAATTCAGGAAGGAGAGTCACTGCCATAAATTCATGACCATACATTTTTGGAATACCAAAAGTACTAACAGGTCAATAAAAGAGAGTGTGAACATCAGTCCTGGAAGAGTAAGGTGGAGAACAGCTCCAGAAGTCCCTAATGCATGGATTTTATTAGAGGTTAGGTAGGTCCCCTTTGCCTGATCTCTTTCTTTTATTCTTTTACAGTAGCTGCTACCAATAACTCTTAAAGACATGATATTGTCTTGATAGGCTTTTGATTTGACTCAGTGCAGACAGTCTTAGGACGTTTAATGGACCGGCTCCTCTTTGGAACAATTCCAATGTCTTCAATGAATATGAAGCAGAAATTATTTCCCACATGTCTGACAATTCCTGCTTTGTTTCCATTTCAGCATTTCCTAAGGCTTAAAAGCAACTCTTAGCCTCTGAACTTTTCATTTGAGTTCATGTCTTGGTTTTCTCAGTTATGCTCAGCATTACATTAAGACAAGCATTAAAAAAAAAAATTACAGTATTGTTTTATTAAATTGTCACAACAAATAGTGCCAAATGAGGGGCTGAAACTCACATATGTCCTGGTGATTGGATGAGGATTACTGCCACCCTGGACCTGAGCAATTTGAAGCACTTGACAGGAGGTGGCAGACAAGTTGTAAAGGGGAGCAGACATGGGAACCCCCTTGAAGCACTGGTACAAGGGCTGGGTGTGGCTAAGTGACCACAGCCAGCTGGACCAGGTCCCAGCCCCCCGAGGCAGCTCCCTCAGCCCCCCCGCTGTTTCTGCAGAAGTGGGAGGACCTGGTAGGTCAGACCAGGTGTGTACATAAGTGTGCACTTATATACACCATCTCCCAGTTAATATAATGGTTTTGTTTCAGTACATTATAGGACAAAGGGATTTATACTATTTTTTGCTTTTTAATTTTATTTATTTGTTCTTCTTTTAATTTCAGGGCTTCAGAATATATTCACCACCTCCTAGGATCCTTTTGTGGGTTGTCAGTTCTGCAATTTTTTTAGGTTACAAATCAGTTTGCTTTGCAGGTTTGTATCTTGAACTGTAACTACTAGTGGGAAGCGTAAATGAATGAAATGAAAGACACCCTCCAGGCACCACATGAATTTATAGCACAAATTGCCAGTGCCACCTAGAAAACAGAATGAGATCAAGCACTAACTCCTCTATGTCTGCAGGGTGCTCTAGAATCCAGAATGGCCAAAAATGGACACATCAGCCTTTTTTAATATATGAGTTACAGTTCTCATAAACAGAAGGATACAGACTGGCCATCTCAAGGCATTATGAGACTTATATATATGCTTGCTTATATTTACTGCATATATGTGTTTCTGTAGACAGGTTTCTTTCTTAATTAAAATTGCTTTAAAATTTTCTCAGCCTACATTTATTAACAGATATTCCCATGCAATGCAGTTCTGTGTGTGAGACCCATCCCTTGCAAACCAAGATGCAATGAATGTGGTGAAAGCTGTACACTTTTCTGTGATCCCAGCCAGTAGATTTATGATTTAATAATCAGAAAAAAAATCAGTTAAAGAAAACCCTCTGGCTCTGTCAACCTGCTAAGAGCACCTGATTGCTCCCAAGCTCAGTGAGAAGTCACAGTTTAATAAACTCCACCTGGTGTTGCCTCACCACTGCTGCTTCGTACATCTCTATTGCCCAGGAAGTCTGAGGTTGGTTTTATTGTTCTGAGCCTTTTGATTATGCTCAAGCTAAAATGAGGGATTGCACATTCCAATTTGTGGTGACCCTGTCTTGTGAAAAGGCATTGCTATGAGCAAAAATAGAAATGAGGCTTGTGACCCTGTGTTTTAAATCATTTATTGTCACTACAGTGCATGGTCTTAATTTTGCAAAGCTTCTCTACTTGCACACTTGAATGTATGCTTAAGACCATTTATTTTATCCAAATAGAAACATGTATTTAAACCTATATCTATGCATAGGAGCTTGGCTCAATGAAGTTGTAAAGCAAAATGCAATAATTGAGGTTTTATAGCAAGTGAGAATGAAGCTGTGACACAGTCCTAAGCAATATGCAAATGATGACACACATCACAGCTAAAGTCATAGGAGGAAAGGAAAATTTCTGGTACAGGGAAAAGATTGACACTGACAGATAATGGGGGGAAAATACAAAAATCAGAAATCACACCAACAACACACACAAAATAGAAGCTGTCACCATGCTAAGATCTCTAGAAAATAAAATAAGAAACTCTCAGTCTGTTTAGCCAACATCAGAAAATGAGGCAAAAGCATGAATCCAAAGAGGAGTATAAAGTCACTCCAGTTGCTCCCAGATGCCCCAAACAGGGAAGGGGGGGATTAAATCAGCTGTTTTGAAAGAAAGGGAATCCAGTGCATCCAAAGCAGAGCAAGAAAAAAGCAAATTGAAGCCCACATTAGCACTACTGAAAAATGGACAGTCTTTTTTTAAGGAGAACATGATCTGAGTATAAGTAAAATGAGTTTTCTGTTAGATTTGATTTAAGAGAAAGAAAAAAATTTATGGACAGAGCACAGGAACTAAAATCCTGATTTAATTTTCACAAACTACAGTGAATGATGCAGAGGGGACACAGAGAGGGGGGAGCTAAGTGGATGAGAGGTTAGTGTAGATTCCAGAAAAAAGGAGCCTTTTCAGTCATTTCATTACACCTAACACAGCACCTGCCACTGCTTGAGCCATTTGTTTTCTCCTCTTTGTGAGCTTCATATTTATTCTTGGATGATATTAAGTTTTGTGAATACACAGATGCTACAGGATCTGAAAGAATTAGGTGAAATGTGTCAGAAATCATAATTTGCTTCTTCAGCCAGAAGTATCCAAGGAACTGCTGGCTATCCTATTTCTTCAGATGTTTACTACCCCAGACACAGAACAGACAGCTGTGTATGAGCTTGTCCTGGCAAAGGAGCAGAAAGGGTAACCTCATCTACCCTTTCAGTCTCCGAGCTTTGATGATTCATATTTTGCAAGAGCAGCTTTGCTTATAAATAGGAGCAGGTTTAGCAAGTGAAACCAGTTAACCTTTAAACAATTAACGCATGCCCCTAACAAAAGGCAGAGCTTGAATTCAAAGAGTAAACTCCTCTTGCTGTGAAATGCTTTCCAGAGTTTAATTTCACATGTAGGGCCAGTAGCACTCACAGCAGGAAGGTGGAATGAGTCATGTGGGGATGTTGGGAACTGGGATGAGAAAGCATTGCAAAAGTACTCCTAACATAAATTGCTTATCACTCTGTACTTTGTTCTTCAAACAGAGATGATTTTGACACTGTATCCTGTTTCAAGGAAAGAAGAAAACCAGGAAGGTGCTAGACTGAAGGCTAATCCCAGCAGCACTCTTACCACCCTGAATGGCACACAATTGCAATGCTATAAGAGAAGATAAAATAAAAAAAATAACAGATTTAGAAAGTGGGACTGCCTATTTCTTGCCTTGTTACTGTATGGACTGATTCATTTCAGAAAGGATGAAAGAGAAAAAAACATCATTCTGGTTTGACTGAGCTCCTATCTGTTTTCAGAGTCCTTTAGACTATTTACATGACAAAGTATGAGGCAAAGGATGTTCACATATCCTGGCAGTTACAGAAACTAAGGAAGCCTCCATCCAGTTTATCTCCAGCTCAGTACTCTCTTATCATATATATCACTGCCAGTTCAACTGAGATAGAGGGAGACTTCTTCTGATTTTGCCCATCTCAGGGCAAGAGTACACATTTTCAAATCAGCTTACACTCGCTGCCATTTCACAGGGGCTTTTACTCCTGAGAACCACCTGCCCAAGTCACTCCACTTCACCAACCTTGTAGGGAAAAAAACTTGATATTCTTCCCACCAAATTTCTCTGGACTGGATGGTTGAAGTGATGCCTTTAGGAAGCATCAGAATAGTCATACTTAGGAAATAGGTACAAGGATTAATTCTAGCTGCTTATAATTCTTTTTTATGCATATACCTACCAATGGATTTTGTAATATCCTTTTTTTTTCTCCCTCTGGTTTTTTTTTTTTCCTATTTGTGGGTAGATGGAAATGTAGACAACAGTATGTTTCCTAAAAAGTGCCTGTTTTAAACAAGGCACTATGCTTATTCCCAAATCAAAGTCCAATATTCCTCTCCCATCCTACCTCAGCACAGATCCTGATACATGTATACCATAGTATCAGATTGACTTCTTCTGGGAAAGGGAAAGTGATTTTCTTACTGATGCGATTGGTAATTCATCCTGTTGTGAATTGGTGAAATCAGGGCAATCCAATCTATACTAGCAAAGCTTATCCCACTCTTTTGATAAGGTGTTTTCCTTGGCTGCCATTGCTGCATCCTGTGAAGCAATTATGCTTGTCCAAAATCTTCCCTGATTCACAGAAAATAGTATATTGCCAAACTTTGGAAAATATGGAGGTGCCTCATTGAGGTGGAAGTCAATCATTTCACTTTGTATGTGTGAGAGTATTCCAGTGTTTTGTTCCTCTGGCAGAGAGCAAGAGACAGTGGCAGGAGCAGTGCAAAAGCTCAAAGGGCTTTTTCTCCCCTTCTCAACCCCTGTGGCAGTCATCCACCCCAGGACAAAATGGGGTAGAGACATTCCTGCCATGATCCAGTGACATTTAACACCAGTCTGTGCTGGGATGAGTTGAATGCCTCCATGGGGACCTGAGAACTGAGGCCAACAGAAAACCCTTAGCAAATGTGTTCAAATAGACCCTGTCCTGGCCCTGAGGTTACAAACAACCAAGCTTTCTATGACATTTGGCTTTTTCATTTAGTTTGAGTATTTCAAAATGGGTGCCATGAACTTGTTTCCCTTGATGCCTTTTCCACTGTGGCATGGGAGGACTAGCTTAGTGGCATCTCCCTTTGATTTTGCCTGTCCACAGCAAGTTCCTGAGGAACTGAGAAAAACAAGAATTTTGCCTGGCTGGCTTGGGGTTGAGCAAGTCACTTGCTTGGGGAATGTGACTGTCACATGTGGGCACTTTCTGCGTCCACAGATCACAGACAAGGAAGAAGAGCAGATCACTGGTACAGTGCTCCATGGCAGCCTGGGGAATCCAGAGATGGAGAAGTAAAGGGATATGGATCTCTTATTCAGTGCAGATTGAAAAAGCAGTGTTGGAAAATGTGTCTGTATTTATAGTCATAGTACAGAACACAAGGATCACTTCATTCAGCAGCTGGAGACACAGGAACATCCATATCCTAGATTTAGGTTTGCTTATTGTGCTTTTAGTATGGGATTTAGCTTATTAACTTCTGGCATACATATGTGAGCCAAACATACTCTGCTTCCTAAGTTACAGTCAATGGAAGGAAAAAGGCACTTCCAAGCCATTGTTTACCTTATCTATTGTAAAAGACTTCTGCAGGTTGAGACAAACTGAACTTATAGTGTCTTTCACCTGCAGTAATTGTTTTCTAATCCTCACAAGGTAAAGCATATCACATACCCATAGTGAACCTCCAGTAAATACAATCTGCTAGAAGTATCCCAGTAAAGGTAATTTTTTTACTTCATTAGACAGCTTCTTTCACTAAGCAGCACTTTCTATATTATCCCTTGAACATCACCTATCCTGCACCACAAATTAGCAATAAAGGAGCCTACTGGCAGGGTCATGTGTCTATTAATGAGATTCACACTCAGATATCCTGCCCAACCCCCCATATGCATTGCTATCCCTGTCCAGAAGCACTGCAGGAGTGGTGAACTCTGCCTACCAAAGTGCCTAAATGTGCTTGTCCATCAGCCTGCCACCCTGTCCCACCCCCAAGTCTGACTTGTTGTATATCTGAATTTCAGAAAGCTGAGAAGGCATCACAGCCAATCTCTTCCTGCTGGCACAGGATGATGAGGAGCTCCAAATTCCCCTGGGGATCACATGCACCCCAGGAGGGGTCCTTTGAAGAGGGAACAATGGGACACTGCACAGTGCCTTTCCTAGTCCAGCTGCCAGCAGATCAGAGGATCCCATGAGTAGCAATACCGATACTGGCGTGGCACATCCTGGGGTGGCAGAGACACCACCACTCTGCATTGTAAATGCATTAAGATGGATAGTGAGGGAGCCAGGTGGGAGCTTCATGCTAAAACACACAGGACCTGGCAGGTCTGAGGACTGCACCTGATGGTTTCAGGGAGGAGCTGTGTTTAACAATTCTGAGCTGGAAGATCAGGTTAGTCATGCACATGGCCTAAAGCAAGGAAGGCAAAGAAATGAAAGCTGGGGAATCCCAAAGAGATGAGAGGTGCAGCTACAGACACCAATAAAGAAAACCCCACATTTCATTTTGGGAAGGGCAGCTTGCTCTGTGTAAGAAGAAGCACACAACCTTGAGTGCTTGTCCAAGTGAACTTCTGCAAATGGCATGTTTACATTCTTCCCCATATTAGCAGTGGACACGTTTTTGTCTTCTGCTTAACCAGGTGAGTGGCTGCTTGCATCAGATACAGCCTGATGCAGGGGTGAGCTTGGCTGTGGCAAACAGCCTTTGCTCTGTTACTCTCAATGCTCTTGTATTTGTGCATGTGTGTATGAGGCACATCCCACGAACTTTTGTCCTGAAAGGTTAGAGGTGATGGCTCACAAATGGGGCAGATTGAAGTAGTACCTTTTATTAATTTTCTTATTGTATGGGGCATAGATCCATGGAAAGCTTGAAGGTTGCTGGCAATCTGCTGGTCCAAACCTTTGGAAACTTCTCCTCTAGGAGTCCTCTCTAGGTGATCATAGGAGAAATTATCATTTGTGTAAGAGAACAAGCAAGGCTATCACCCCCCAAGTGATCTGAAATTAGGTGAGTTCAACTAAGTCAAAGCAGAGCTCTGTCTCTAACCCATGCCTAGTCATGTAAATCAATCTTTACTTCCATTACATATGTACAAACAAGGGGGTGGCACTGTCATCCGTGGTACTCTTCTGGGTGCCTTCTCTTACCCATAACTGCACACGAGACAATCTCAGATCAAGAAATTGCCTTGGAGTAACCGAGGCACACCCTGACATAAGGTATTAAGTACTGGGCAGTTCATACACAATTATTATGTTGTTCACAAAAAACTTAATTGTCAGCCTACATCACTACATTGTTTTGGTTTCTACAGGCTAGGCAGACAAGAAGAGATTGAGAGTTTGGGCTGGTTCTCTAGCAAGATCTGTCCTACTCATGCAGGAACGCTATCCAAATCACAGAGGATCAGGAAAACCAACTACAGACTCCCTGAATTTCTGTATGAAGTAATCACAGTTACACAACTCATAATTGAGTTTACTGCACTTAACTCTGTTCTTTATTACAGTGTTGACTAATGAAGTCTTACTTTAGAATAAAACCCCGCTTCTGGTAACATTGTGGTGTTAATATAATTATTCATTGTCTGTGTGTTGTGTTTGTGCCAGTGCTGAAGAGCAGATGTTACAAGTGAAATCTGAAGAGTTTATTATAAGCAAAAATAATTATCTTCCTGTTCTGCAGGAACAAGTCTGTTGTCCACCAGACTAATTAGAACTCCAATCAGTCTTGTGTCTTGTTGCAACTAAATCTCTGAAATGCTGTTTTTTAAGGTTCAAAGACTTGACAGTGAGGCAACCCATCTAGATATCATATGAAAAGACTGGCTACTTTCATTTATCTCTGTATCACCTTATTCACTGAAGTGTCATTATACAGCTAAGAGACTTTTATAAATTATTTTTGCTCTTGTTTCTGTTATATAATTATTAAAAAAATTAATTTTATTTCTGTAGAGTCTACAAGTTCCTGTGTGTGTAGGCAGAAAAAAAATTCTAAAATCCAGGGAAACTCAAAGGTGAAGTCAAAAACAACAAAAGGAGATAGAGTCCACTTTAGGAAAGATGTTAATCAATTCTAGAGCCATAAAGTAGACCAATGAGAATGATCAAACATCTGTGAAGGGACAGGGCAACCTTTTTCAGGCACATGAAAGATTGTTCCAAACAAAGGAATTAATCTTCCCTCCAGTATTTGTGTTAGATAGGACAGGAATTAACCTGCAGCAATGAAGATTTCACTGAAACATGAGGAAAAACCTCTCTAATTGCAAGGACAGTGAAGCAGTGCAATAGACTTTCTAAAAAGACTGCAGATAATATATTCTTCAAGGAAGTTAGACATCTCCCATCACTATGCATGCTGTTGTGGGATAAGATTAGATGACCCCTGAAGATTCCTTCTGCTCTGTGACTGTATGGGATAGCTGGGCAGGCTGTCAAGGCAGAGAAGTAGACATATCCTGAGACAGGTGAGGGTCAGAACACCAGAGCTGTCCGGGGTCACTAGGACAGGCACTGGCAGGAGGCTTAGTCATGATGTGTCAGGAGAGGAGCTGCTTTAGGACTGGATTTGGGACTTGTGGGGGTC